GCCCACATCACAAAATCTCAAAACTGTAGATGCTGGTGTGGATGTGGAGAGAAGGGAACACATTTATACTGCTGGGGGGACTACAAACTAATACAACCTTTTTGGAAGGAAGGATGGAGAATCCTCAGAGAATTCAGTCTAGACCTCCCATTAGGTCCTGCAATCCCATTACTGGGCATCTATCTAGAAAGAAAGAAAAAATCCTTTTACCATTAAGGACACTTGTACTAGACTGTTTATCACAGCTCAATTTACAATCACCAAAATGTTCAAACAGCCTAAATGCTCACCAACCTAGGAACAGATTAATAATCCATGCTATTTGTATACCATGGAATACTATTCAGCCATTAAAAATGATGGAGTCTTTAAAATCCTTTGTATTAACCTGGATGGAAGTGGAACACATTCTTCTTAGTAAAGCATCACAAGAACGGAGAAGCAAGAATCCTATGTATTCAATTCTCATATGAGGACTGTTGATGACCTGGTACATGGTGGGGGGTGGGGGAAAGGGAGAACTAAGAGAGGGAAGGAGGGAGGGAGGTGGGGGAAGGGAAGAGCAGAGAGAGAGCAGTGGGGGGGTCACAGTGTGTGACACACCTTTTGAGGGGCAGAACACAATTATGAGAGGGGACTTTACTTAACAAATGTAATCAGTATAACTTGGTTCTTTATACCCTCAATGAATCCCAACAATAATATATATATATATACATGCACATAGGTTTAATATTCAACATATGTAAAAATAGATCTAGCATGTTGAGAAAGACTACCTGTATGATTTTCTTGGGAAATTTTAAAAAGTAACATGATTATCTTGAGAATTGATTTCATACAGGTTGTCTGAAACCTGTAATGAGATACATGAATGAGGGTATTCATTTTGAACTTTAATATGTACTTATAACTTATTCTATAATTTTATTGTTTTAAATTTTAAAATCAACAGGTCAATCCTGTACATTCTTTATGGGTAATTGTACCCTTGGTGTCCTTCCTATATTCTATTTCTTCTTTTTCCTTGATAGGAAACCAGACTCTCAGTTTCTTCAGCTTTCACATTCTTTGCAGGCTTTAGATAACCTCCTAGGCTGCTTAATATTGACTAATCTAATCCACATCACTATAAATAATCCAATCCATTTTAATCGTTTAAATAATGTCATTGTGTCCTTTGCTGTTAAATGTTAAAAGTACAATATATAGAGTAGGCTACCTGCATTGGAAGGCTGATTCTAATACTGTTTAAGTTTTAACATCTATAAAATGGGACAAACATGGCTTGGCTCAGTGGCTAAGGCACCAGCCACATATACCAGGGCTGGCAGGTTCGAACGTGGCCCGGGCCTGCCAAACAACAATGACAACTACAACAAAAAAAGAGCTGGGCATTTTGGCAGCCACTTGTAGTCCCAGCTACTTGGGAGGCTGAGGTAAGGGGATGGCTTAAGCCCAAAAGTTTGAAGTTGCTGTGAGTTGTGACAAGACAGAACTCTACAGAGGGTAACATAGTGAATCTCTGTCTCAAAAAAAAAAAAAAGGAAGAAACATTAGGATAATTTTGATAATCAAAAGAAATAGCATATGTAAAGCACATAGACACCTAGTTTGATTGCTTAATAATTTTGAATATTTTAAGTTTGATTTTTATTCTAATTATTTTGTAATATAGATTATCTTACTCTGGCTATATATAATATAAAGAAAATTCTTCCTCTACTGTTCCTTAAAAATACTGAATTGTGACATCATGTTTATGTTTGTTCAAGAATATTTCTATAATATCCAAGTTGGGTGAGACATTCCACACAAAATAACAGAACTGTACTGATGATTCATACCATACACAACTTGTCTGTGATTCCCATGCATTTTCCTCCAGATGTTTTTTTTTTTTTTTGTAAGCAGCATTGGTTCATTCTTTTTTGTTCTGCAATATTTTATAGTAGGAAAACAGTATATAAATTAGTTTTGTAAGAATCTTCTTATAATCTATCCTTGAAAGAAGGAGGAGGGAGGAAGAAAGAATCTATCCTCTGAAGAAATCAAGGCCAACGTAATATTTTTCTTCTTGTTGGTGACTTGCTTTTATCTGCTGGATATGTGAAGTTTTGTAATGATCATTAAATCAAGGACAAATTAATTAAGATATGCTTTTCTTAACAGTTTTTCTTGGAATCTGATTGAATCCAATTGATTCATAGAGCTGACCCTTTATCTTTCTTATTTCAATGATTTTTTTAAAACTATGAAAGTGTATAGACTATTCTGCAGTATTTTACTCTGTATTTAGTTCTCCTCTGCTTAGGAGTTTTTGTTGATCCTATGTTTAATCTTTTCTTTTTTTGACTTGGATTTTGGTATGTTAATTTTTCACCAATTATGTTAACCTTGTTCTATTTTTTTCTTTTTGCATTTACTATGAAAATATCAAGCTTTTGCTTTTAGCCAGAAATTAAAATATTGTCTGTTGTCTAATCTAGTCATTGCTCTTCCTACTTCATTTACTATCGGGGTAATAATATTCTTTGGACTTGCAACTTATCTCCTTATTTATTAGATTGTTTCATGTTATTATTTTTTAACCAAATCAAGTTATCTTTGAAATTTGGTTTTATTTAATCTATGGT